CATCCTTCTAAAGGGAACAAGCCAAGAGCAAGAGATAACACTCATAAATATATATGCATCAAATACCAGTGCATCCAACTATATAAAAAATATTAACAGACATAAAGAATCAAATAAGCACTAATACAGTTGTAATGGGGGACTTCAATACCCCACTGTCACAAATAGATCAACTAGACAAAAATCAACAAAGAAATACCAGAACTGAACGAAGTTTTTAAACAAATGGACTTAATAGATGTCTATGGTGTTCCAGCCCAGAACACCAGAATACACATTCTTCTCAGCTGCACTGGGACATTCTCCAGAATAGACCACATACTAGCTGATAGAAGCTACTTAAGTAAATGAAAAGGAATTGAAATTATCCCATGCATATTATCATCCCCAAAGAGTTCATATTACAGAAATATGAGCTATTCCAGGGCCTCAAAATTAAAACATGGAGGGAAGGGGGCTAAAGACAAGGAATGTAGCTCAGTGCGAAGGCCCTGTGTTCAATCCCCAGAACTGCACAGAACAAGAAAAGAAGATGTGTGTTTTAGTTATAATATTCTTTAGTTGCATTAGTTTTAATTACCTGTTTCAGATAATCAAGTTAAGCATATTTCCATTTGCTTGTTACTTTTATATCTTGTTTTCTAAATCCTATTAAGTATCCCCCTCCCCCACTGCACTGGGAATTTAACACAGGCCTTTGCACAGAGCTACTCTCACACACTCACTTTTTTTTTTTTATGTTGAGACAGGGTCTCATTTGTAGTTCAGGCTGCCCTTAATTCAACATGGCCCAGGTTGGCCTCAAATTCACAGTGATCCTCCTGCCTCAGCCTCTCAAGCACTGGGATTCAGAGGCCTGCCCCACGGCATGGGGCAGGTATGAAAACTGACACACGCTACACCAGAGGTGAATCCGGAAAGCATCAACACTTGTGAGAGAACCCAGTCCCAAAAGGCCACAAACTGCATAGCTCCACTGTGGAACTGGAAAGTAAACATGGCTGCATGGCTGGCGAAAACAACTTTCCAAGCCACTGGATCAAGACTTTCAAACAGTAAATCGTGCATGGGAATTACAGCTTTAAGTTTTATTTTAGAGACAAAAAAAAAAAAAGTTAACTGGAATAAGCAAACAAAATTGAAAAGAGTGGTCCAAGAACAGTCAGACTGTCTTTTCTGAGGTAGAACACAATTTGGGACTCAGAGAAAGGAGCAGAACCAAACTGGGCTGCAGGAGAGCAGCTGCAGCTCCACGGTGGGGCAGCTGAGCGGTCGCCCTGCCTCACCTACGGGGCTGGGAAAGACGGACAGCAGGTGGAGGATGTTCTCCAGAGGACCTGAGTCCTGCAAAAGAGTTCGAGTGCTCCCAGACTCAGGGGTCCTAAACAGACACACAGGGGCTGGGGTGCGGCTCAGGGACCCAGCGCTTCTCAGCCTAGGGGAGGCCCTGGGTTCAGTTCTTGCCTGAAAAAGAAAGATGTTCCACATTTTTCTGCTGACTTTTTTTTGAATCTTTACCAATATGATGGCTTAAAATGATCTCTGAATTTCTACTTTTTAATCTTTTTTTGAGTTACCATTTGCATGCAAAACAGTATTTTAAGTATGAAGTTTAAAGAGTTTTCTTGGTGTTTGGTTGTGTTTTTGTTATTTTGGGGGGAGGATTTTTTTTTTTTTTTGAGACAGGGTCTCTCTATGTAGTTCAGGCTGGCCTTGAGCTCACTTTGTAGCCCAAGCTGGTCTCAAACTCACAACAATCCTCCTGCCTCAGCCTCCCAAGTAATAGGATTACAGATGCAAGCCACCATGCCCAGCTGGGGAGGATTTTTTGAGATAGGGACTTGATACGAAGGCTAGGCTGGATTTGAACTCATGATCCTCCTGATTCAACCTCCACACAAGCTGAACTCACTGGTGTGCCACCATGTCTGGCTTTTTTTTGAACATGTGTGTACATTCATGCTACTATGGCCCCAGTCCAGACATGGGTCACCAGCATCATGCCAAGGTTGTCGTGTAACCCTTTGCAGTAAAGCCAGGCCTTGCAGCCAAGCGTTCATCTCCAGCTCCTTTTTGTTACTGCAAATGAGCTTTTCTTGTTCTACAATTCTATGGAATTAAAATTAGATGCATTGAGGGTAGCAATGTAGCCACCAAGATTTTTCTCTTAGATTTATATCTCTTATAAAGGCTTTATAATTAATTACATAATTCCATTAGACCCCTTTTTTTTTCCCTTAAACTGGTACCAGGGATCGAACTCACAACCACACGCTTGCAAGGCAGGCACTTATGCTGCTAAATCCCCAGCCCCCATTAGAACTTTTGATTCATTGTATATTATTTTCTGTGCATGATATAAGGTGATAAAGTCATCTTATTCTTATTCTTATTATTAGTTATTTCAGCACTACTTATCGACCAGGTTTTCCTTTCCGCCATTAAATTGCCTTGTGAGTCTTGTTGAAAATTATTTATCCTGGACCGGGGATTTAGCCCAGCAGCTCAGACACTTGCCTGGTAAGTGTGAGGTTGTGAGTTTGATCCCTGGTACAAAAAAAAAAAAAAAAAAAAGAGAGAGAGAGAGAAAATCATTTGTCCACATTGTCTGAATCTAGGAAGTACCTGTTTTTTTGTTTGGCATTTTGATCCTTTCTGCCACTATCCCTGTAGTTTTTTTTTTTTTTTTTTTTTTTTTTTTTGTCTCCTAGTATTGGCGATTGAACTCAGGGCCTTTACAGGGAGCTACTTCCCCGGCTTTTTCTTTTTCTTTTTGACTTTGAGACAGGGTCACTATGTTGCCCAAACTGGGCTCAAACTCGAAATCCTCCCACCTCCACCTCTCAGAGTGCTGGGATTATAGGTGTGGACCCCAAAACTCACGAGTAGGGGTGGGGAGAATCAAAAGCAGGAAGTGCCTCAATCTAACTTTCACAGTAAGTTTTGCGATTGGGTAGCATGAGTCCTTCAGCTTGCGATTTAGCTTTTCAGATTTCCATTGGCTATGCTGTGTGCTTTGTGCATCTATAGATTTAGAACCAGCTCGCCCATTCCCCTGGTGCAGCCTCCTAGCCTGGGGATACAGCCGAGCAGCAGATCACTTGCCCGGGGTGGTGATTTACTAGAATGTCCCTCAGAGGTCTCAGGTGTATACCGGCAGGACTGGGGGAGATGACTGGATCATAGGACGCCATCTTCATCCATGGATTAGTCACAATTTCATTTTCCTTTGATAAGGTTTAATTCCCTGCTTATACCCCGGGTACTTATACCCCAACAAGAGCTATGGGTTTCACTATCATTGTTCAGGAGTCAGCATAATTATCCTTCAGAAGTCCGAAATCCCCACGTCACTCATCACAGAATTACTATTTATTATCTGTAAGGTGAAAGCAGTTTGTAGCTAAGGCAATTATTCTCAAATAAGTGTTCCTAGGATCTGTGTGCAACTTTCTCAAAAAGTCAAAATTGTGCTTACCATAAAAGGACAAAAGTAATGACTGAACATTTTCAGTGATAAATTTTCAACCATAAAGAACTGACCTGATTTAGTGGGGGTTATCTGTTTATTTTTTGAGTCAGGGTCTCACTGTGTAGCCCAGGCTGGCCTCCAACTCCTGGCGATCCTCTTGCCTCAGCCTCTCAAATGCTGGGATTAGAAGTGTATGCCACCATCATGCCTGATCTTTATTTCAATTTTATTTTTTGTTTCAATTTTTATTAGTGCATGCTTGCCATACATAATGGTTACATTCATTGTGGGGACTTGGTACATGTATGTATCTTAATTCCATTTACATCCTTTTCCCTTCTCTCTCCTAATTTTTCTTTGTAACTAACACTATTTAATATATAAGTTTACCAGGAAAACTGTGACTTTAAGTTAATTTAACATCTATACCTCAGTTTCCTCATCTTTAAAGCATAAATAACAATGCCTATCTTAAAGGACAGGGAAACATGTGCAAAGTCACACACAGAATCATGGCTGCCCATACAAAGGCCACCAGTAAATACCACTTAATCCTTCAGTCCAGAACCAACGGTCCTGTCACATGCCTGACTAGGGATGCAGGGTGAGTGTATGCGTGATCACAGGCACTGCTGACAATGATGGACTCACAATTAGATCCAAAAGGTCTCCACTTTATTGGGTCACTCAGGCCCCCTCCAGCCATCCCCATGCCTGCCCCTTACCCACACCCACACTCGTCGACCACCATGTCCTCATAGTGACGCAGAATGACGTTGTCACCATTGTCCTGGTAGAGCATGGAGATGGGTGAGAGCTTGGTGGGGACGCACACAGCTGGGGACACCGTGGGGTCCACGACCTGCATCAACGCCTGCATGAAGGCATAGTTAGAGCTGTTCAGGTAGGCAGCCACAGAGAGGGGACACTCGCCCTGACAGTAGTTGGCCATGAATCCCTTGGGGGCTATGATCCACTTGTGCCAGCCCAGATCCCGGAAACTGATGAACAGCTGGTGGCGATGGCAGAGGCTCCGGCTGGCAGCCTGGGGGGCAGCGGGCACGGCCCGCCGCGGGCGGGCAGGGTGGCGGCACCGCGCAGGATCCAGGGTCGCCACCAGCAGGGTTGCACGCAGGGTCCGCCGCAGCCTGGCGCAGAGGGCCCGGGGGTGACGGTGACGCCCAGGCTCCCCATCCTCCACGACTTGCACGTCCAGCAGCAGCCCCAGGCGGGACCACTGGCGCCGGGCCGCGTGCTGCAGCGCCCCCTGCAGGCGGACCCGGAGGACGCCGTGGGGCCGGGGCACTGACTGCTCCGCCACCGCTCTGCCCCGCCCACGCGGGGGCCCTGCCCGCAGACCAGGCTGCGGAACCAGCGACACCACTAGCTCCAGCGCCGGGCCCAGCTCCTCGTAGGTGCTGGGCCCTAAGTCCAAGCCCAGCTCGGCCGCGGTGGGCTGCTCCCGGTCCGGGATGGCAGAGAGGTTGAAGGAGAGCAGCCGCTGCAGGCACGAGTCCGAGGGAAGGAGGAAGCCTGCGTGGGAAAGAGAAGACGCAAGTCACCATCTGTGCGCTTCACAGCCGCTCCAGCCTTCCACACACAGCGCCAGTGGCGAATTGTCACTTTCTCCAAACCTTACCCCTTCCAAGGCTGAGGCAAGAGGAGAAGGAGTTCAGGTACGTAGCAAAACTGTGTCCCAGCAGCAAACGAAACAGTATGATCGCTGTAGGTCAGTTTATAGAGGCTGACCTTGAACTCACTGTGCAGCCCACGCTCCTGCCTCGACCTCCCAAGTGCTGGGATTACAGAAGTTCACATCATGCCGGCGGGAGTGACAATTCTTACACACTTATGGTGGGATATAAATTTTGGAGATTATTTGTTGGCCACAAATCAAAAGCTTAAATGTCAGCACTCAGGAGACTGATGCAGTAAGATGGAGAGTTTCAGAACAGCCTGGGCTACACAATGAGTGAGGCCAGTCTGAGCTACATAGTGAGACTTTGTCTCAAAAGTTTAAATGGACCTGCCCTTTGATCTAACAATCTCCTAAAAAATTATCCTAAATTAACAGGAAAAGTGCGTGCTCTCGCCCAAATATTTTATGTCCACAACCACCACGGGGCGTCGGTTACATGGAGCTGTGAATGTTCGGCAGAATGATCCGTCAACTTCAGCAGTGTATCAGATCCCACCCGCCAGAGCCTGGAGACCTACAGTATCCATCGGAAGCTTGGACGTCCTTTCTGTCTCCCCCTCCCTATCAACTTTGAGAAGTTCAGATGGCCTGATCTCGACGTTAGGGGCAAAGACTTTAAGTAACTAAGGGCAGACTTCTTTGTTGGTCTCCAGATTTTCGCGGGCCCGCAGGAAGGAGCCTGGCTCACAGCAGGTCTTCAATAATGCTCCTAGGAAAAACATTCAAACCGTCCCTCCTTTTGCTACAAAACCAACTGCGGAGAGGACAAATAGAAATGCAGATGTTCAACCCTCATCTCAGACTGAATAAGAATTAGATGGGAGATGAGGGAAAGGATGGGCTGGAAGGATCTGTAAAGATGACCTAGAGACTTCTGGACCAACTGAGCTCCAAAATTCAACCCTGCTTAACATAAAAAAAGACACTAGGCTCAGAAATAGCCATTGTAGCCAGGCATAGTGGCCCTCGTGCCTTTAATCGCAGCACTCCAGAGGCTGAGACAGGAAGATTCTTTCAAGTTCGAGACCAGTCTGGGCTACAAAGTGAGCTCAAGGCCAGCCAGAACTGCAGTGAAATCCTGTCTCAAAAAGACAGCCCCCACCCCACAACCCAAAGAAAGACGTGTATATTGTGGATGAAAGAATAAGGGTAATCCCAGCCATCTAGGAGGGAAGCAAAAGGATCACAAGTTTGAGCCTTATCTGCAATTCGGCGACTTAGCGACACCTTATCTCAAAAAAAAAAAAAAAAAAAAAAACCTGAAAAAGGAGCTGATGAAGTAGCTCAGCGCAAAGGTCCTAGGTTCAATCCCCAGTAGCACTGTACTTTGAGAGGCTGTGAATGTAGCTGTATGGTACTGGGGATGGCGCTTGCCCAGAACACTTTAGGCCCTGGGTTCGATCCCTGACTCTGCAAGAAAAAGAAAACTCCTTTGTTCACACACTAGCAGTCTGACTTTGAACAGGTCACACGTCACCTCCCGTCTTGGCCTTAATTTCCTGATTCAAAAGTCGGTAAGAATATGCACCTGGCTTCCTTGGCATGGCGGCTGGGATCCTAGGAGAGAAGGGAAGCGCGATCCCCGCCCGAGCCCGGCTCCCTCTGCCCCGCGCGCCCGCGCCCGCGCCCGCACCCACCTCGGTCCGGCAGCGCTCGCAGCGCGTCCCCGGGCGCGCCCAGCTCGGCCACTGTGCACGGGGCCCGCGCCAGCCCCGCGTCGGCCGCGGCCTCCCGCTCGCGCGCGATCTTCTGCAGCACGCGCGGCACGGGCTGTGGCTGGCGGGGCGGCGGCGCCGCATCCAAGCCTAGAAACCGGAGAAAGTCGCGTTCTCCCAACGCGAGCGCCTGCCCCAAGGCCAGGGTCAGCAGGACGCCGGGAGCCAGCGCGCGCCGGGGAGCATGCATGGCCACGGCGCTGAGCCGGGCGGCGGCCGAGGGAGGAGGTGGCTGCCGATCCCCCACCCCCTTCCCCACTCCCACCCCCTCCTCCCAGGCCATTGGGCGGGAAGAAGCAGACACCCCTTCCCGCGTTGGGGCTCGAACCCCGACCCTTCCGCCGACCTGCATTGCCAGCGCTTTGCTTTGCTTGCTTGCTTGCTTGCTTTTTTTAAACTTTGAGACAGAGTCTTGCTGCCTTCCCCAGGCAGGACTCCAATTTGCAACCCTCCTGCTTCGGCCACCCACAGTGCTGGCATTACAGGCATGTGCCCCATATCTGCTTTTATCACTTCACTTGCTGTACGCCCCAGGAAAAAAATTAGCAGTGTGTGGACATAAACCTTACAACAACCCGAAGGTTGTCCTTCAGGTTTTGGTTGGTTTGGTTGGTTGGTTTCTGGTCTTTTTGAGACAGTTTCACTATGCATTTCAGGCTCGAACTCACTTTGTGGTGCGGGCTGGCCTGGAACTCACAATAATCCTTCTGCCTCAGCCTCCCAGATTCTGGGACGTTAGGCTGGAATCACCACGCCCCGGCTTCTAGATCCGCGTTAAGGGGAAGCTGAGCCTGGTGGCACCCGCCTGACATTCCAGCACTCCTGGAGGCTGAAGAGGATTGTTATAAGTTCAAAGCCAGCTTGAGCTACATAGAGAATGCAATGCTAGTGTGGACTACATAGCAGGACCCTGTCTCAAAGCAAAACAAAACAAGAGGGCCAGGCATTTAGCTCAGGAGCACGGTGCCTGCCTGGCAAGCACAAGGTTGTGAGTTTGATTTCCAGTTAGAGAAAGAGAGAGAGAGAGAGAGAGAGAGAGAGAGAGAGAGAGAGGCAGGTGAGAGGAGGGGAAGGAGAGAAGTGGAAGTAGACACATTTATTCATTCAACAGTTATTAAACCGTCAGTTGTGTCAAAAACCCTGAGATGAATGCTAGGAACATAAGAGTGAGCAATTTAGCCTTAAAATTCATAATTAGGGGGCCGGAGATTTAGCTCAGCAGCATAAGTGCCTGCCTGGCAAGTGTAAGGTCATGAGATCGATCCTCAGTACAAGAAGAAATTCATAATTAGTGAAATATATAGGTGTATGTGTGTGTGTGTGTGTGTGTGTGTACCGGGGATAAAACCCAGAGATGTTCATAACTGGGCCATACCTCCAGCCTTTTTTTTACTTTTTATGTTTCAAGACCAGAGTCTCTAAATTACCCAGACACAATCAATTTGAGATCCATCCTCTTGTCTCAGCCTCCCAAGCAACTGGGGTTGAGCTGTGCACCACCACACCCTGTTTGAGCTTCTTGAATAAAAGTCCTAAATCAGACTGATCAGGTGATTTTGTTTCCATTATTTACTAGCTGCATAGCACTGTGTATGTCACTTAATCCTCAAAAAGTTTTATCTTCTTAATTGAAAATAGACCAGTCTAGGGGCTCAGGGTGAAGCTCCGTGGCACAAGGGCCTGCCTGGCAGGTGCAAAGTACTGAATTTGATTCCCAGTACAAAAATAAAAAAGAAAAGGAAAGAAAAGCGACTGACCTAAAGCTGGGCTTGTGCATGACTCTAGCCCTACCTACTCAGGCAGCTGAGGCAGGGGAACCTCAAGTTGGAGTCCAACCTGGGCAACTTAGTGAGATCATGTCACAAAATAAAAATGTGTAAGAGGGTTAGGGATGTAGGTGAGTGGCGGAGCATCCCCAGGCTCACTCCCCAGCAGTGCACACTTTCCAGCACACACATGCCGCTGTATGGGAAGCACATACGGTTTCATAGCAGAGAAGCCTTCAAAGCCCAAGTCCATGTCTGCAGTGAGGTCATCAGGATTTAAGGCTGCACGAAATATGGTACATGTAAAAAAGGCACAAATCTTGGGAAGTTTTTGCATGCTCACCTTAGTGAATTTCTGGTTTTGACTTTCATTCATTTGATTTGGTTTTGCTCAGAGTAGTAGAAGATTTTCAAATGCCACCAAGAATTACCCTTGTTTGTGCTAGAAATAATTTCTGAGCTTTTAAAGAAGGGTTTATCCAGCCAGACATGGTGGTGCATCCCTGTAAGCCCCACACTGGGTAGCTGAGGCAGGAAGATCACTTCAAGATCAAGCCTGGCTACATAGTGAGTTCAAGGCCAGCCTGAACTACACAGCAAAACCCTGTTTCAAAAAATTCCCTACGCTGGGGATATAACTCAGTAACACAGCACTTGTCTGGCAAGCTCAAGGTCATGAGGTTGATTCCCAGTACCAAAAAAAAAAAAAAAAACCTGCTCTTCTCTGGGGACTCCTGGTCCCTGCCCTGCAGTCTTACTTCCTGCCACCACCTCCTGGCTGCTGCTGTGCTAAGGAATCTCACAGACCAGGGCAAAGGTCTCCTGTATTGCAGACCCTTCCTCTGCTCACTGAGGAAGACTTCCCTTCCCCTGCACCATTACACAGAAATCCATCACTGTTTTTATTTAAATGTATAAAAACCTGGGTGAGGTAGCACTCCTGTAATTCTAGCACTCAGGAGGCTGAGGCAGGAGGGTTGTCGCAAGTTTGAGACCAGCCTGGGCTACAAAAGTGAGCCCAAGAGCAGTCTGAACTGTACAGCAAGACCCTGTCTCAGAAAGACAACCAATAAAAAATTAATTCATTGGAGGTGTGGTGGCACAAGGCCGTCACCCCAGCTTTCTGGGAGACCGAAGCAGACAGATTTCAAATTCAAGCCCAGTTTAGAAATGTAGCAACTTAATGAAATCCAGTCTCAAAAATATGTTTTTCTGGGGCTAGGGATTTAGCTCAGCGGCATAAGCACCTGCCTTGCAAGTGTGTGGTTGTGAGTTCAATCCCTGGTACCAATAAAAATGAAAAAGACAAAAAAATGGAACTTCCAATCCTAGTCTTCTGAGAAATCTCCATATTGATTTCCATAGTGGCTGCACCAGTCTACACTCCCACCAACAGTGGAGCAGTGTTTCCTGCCCCCCACCAACCTGCAGCCTCACCAACATTTGTTATCCATGGTTTTCTTGATGGCAGCTATTCTTTCTGGAGTGAGATAAAATCTCAATTCTCTTTTAATTTGAATTTCTCCAATGACCAGTGATGGTGAACATTTCTCCATGTATTTATTTGCCATTTGTATGTCTGCATCTGAGAAATGTGTGTTCATCTCAGATGCCCATTTTTGGAGAGAGTCTTTGAATTTGGGAGCTTGATTTTTTTCAATTCTTTATATGTTTTGGATATAAGCCCTTTGTCTGAGGGGTTGCTGGCTATAATTCTTTCTCATTCTGTGGGTTTTCTTTTCGCTCTGTTGGTGATTCCTTTTGAAGTGCAGAAACTTTTCAATAATACGAGATCCCAGTTGTGGATTCTTTGAAGTTTGCAGTTTGCATTTTGTTCATGAATTCTGTGCCTACCCTTATGTCTCCAAGACTTCTACCTACTTTGTCTACCAGTAGATTTAGTGTTTCTATTTTAATATTTAGATCTTTGATCCAATTAGACTTTAGTTTTGTGCATGGTGATATGCATGAGTCTAGTTTCAGTCTTCAGCATGTGGAAAGCCATTTTTTCCAACACCATTTATTAAAGAGGCTATCCTTCTTCCAGTGAATATGTTTAGCACCTTTGTCAAATATCAGGTGGCTGAGTGTCTTTGTAGTTGTGTTTGAATCTCCTGATCTGTTCCATTGATCCTCAGGTCTATTTCTTTGCCAGTACCATGCTGATTTTATCACTGTGACTTTGTAGTATAGTTTCAAGTCAGGAATTGAGATGCCTCCTGCCTTGCCTTTGTTGCTCAGAATTGCCTTTGCAATTCTAGGTTTCTTCTGTTTCCAAATGAATTTTAGCAGTGTTTTCTCTAGATCTGTGAGGTATGTCAATGGTATTTTGATTGGGATTGCATTAAATCTATTAAGTTTTGGGAGTATGGCCATTTTCATACTGTTGTTTCTTTCCTAGCCAAGAGCAAGAAATATCCTGCCATCTTCTAATATTCTCTTCAATGTCCTTTTTTAGCATAGCATAAGCATGTAGGTCTTTTACATTCTTGGTTAGGTTGATTCTTAAGTATTTCATTTTTTTATATGCTATTGTGAAGGGTGATATTTTCATAATTTCTCTCTCGGTGAGATTTTTGTTTGTACAGGAATAATACTGAATTTTGAGCACTGACTTTGTATCTAGCTACACTGCTGAATTTGTTTATTACCTCTGGTAGTTTTTTAAGGGAGTTTTTTGGGGTCTTATATATAGAGTATCAGGTCATCTGCAAATAGTGATAATTTAACTTCTCCCTTCTTTATTCCTTTTATTTCTCTCTCTTGTCTGATTGCCCTGGCTAGTATTTCCAGAACTATATTGAATAGGAGTGGTGATAGTGGACATCTTTGGTTTTTTCCTGATTTTAGAGTGAAAGCTTTCAGTTTTTGTCCATTTAGTTATAATGTTGGCTGTTGGTTTGTCATAGATGGCTGTTAGGAGATTGAGATAAACACTGTGTATTCCAAGTTTCTGAAGGGGTTTTTTCATGAACATGTGTTGGATTTTATCAAAAGCTTTTTCTGCATCTATTGAGATGACCATGTGGTTTTGGTTTTTAGCTCTGTTGATGTGGTATATTATATTTATTGATTTAAATATGCTAAGCCATCCCTGCATTCCTGGAATGAATCCCACTTGGTCATGATGTATAATCTTGTTGATGATTTGCTGCATTCTATTTGCCAGTATTTTAATGAGAATCTTTGCTTCAATGTTCACTAGTGAGACTGGCCCATAGTTCTCCTTTTTGGTTGGGTCTTTCTCTGGTTTTGGTATCAGAGTGATACTTGCCTCCAGGAATGATTTATGGAGGATTGCTTCCGTTTCAATTTCATTGAAGAGTTTAAGGAGTAGTGGAATCAAGTCTTCTCTAAATTTCTTGTAGAATTCAGCTGTGAATCCATCAGGACCTGGACTTTTCTTTGTTGGTAAGTTTTAAATTACATTTTCAATTTCAATAGCTAATATTGAGTTATTCAAAATTGCTATATCTTCTTGGTTGAGCTTTGGTAGTTCACATGTTTCTAGAAATCTGTCCATTTCCTCTCTGTTTCCACTCTATGAGAGTAGAGATTTTCAGAGTAGGTATTCATTCATGATCTTTTTAATTTCCATGGGATTTGTAGTAATTTTTCCTTTTTCAGTCATTATTGCATGAATTTGGGCTTTTTCTTGATAAGGTTAGCTAGAGGTTTGTCAATTTTGTTTATTCTCTCAAAAAACCAGCTTTTTGATTCATTAATTCTTTGTATGTTTTTTTTTTAGTTTCAATTGCATTGATTTCTGCTCTAATCTTTACAATTTCCTGTCTTCTATGAGCTTTGGGTTTAACTTTCTCTTCTTTTTCAAGAAGCTTGAGATGAAACATTAGGTTGTTTATTTGCGTTTGCTCTATTTTCTTGATATGACAGTTTATTGCTATAAATTTCCCTCTTAAGACCGCTTCCATTGCATCCCACAGATTACAGTATGTTGTTTTTGCATTTTCATTGAATTGTAGGTATTGCTTTATTTCTTCTTCAATTTCATCTGTATCCCACTGGTTGTTTAGAAGGTTGTTGTTTAATTTCCGCATATTTATGAAGGTTTTGCTCTTTCTTTTACCAGTAATTTCCTTTCAGTGCACCATGATCAGATATCATGCATGGGATACTTTCAATCCCTTTGCATTTACTTAAGAATGTTCTATGGGATAATATATGGTCTATTTTGGAGAATGTTCCATGTGCAGCTGAGAAGAATGTTTATTCTGATGTGGTTGGGTGGAACGCTCTGTAGACATCTACTAAGTCCAATTGCTCACAGGTATGATTCCGTTTTGTTATTTCTTTGCTGAATTTTTGTCTAGTTGATCTATTTCTTTGTGACGATGGGGTATTAAGGTCCCCTGTTATAACTGTGTTCTTGTGTATTTGGTTTTTCATGTCCATGCATATATATTTATAATTGTTAATTCTTCCTCTTGAATTTTCCTACTAAGGAGTATGTAGTGACCTTCTTTATCTCTTTTAATAATTTTAGGTTTGAAGCTCACATTGTCTGCAAATAGAATAGTTATTGAAGCTTTTTTTTCTGGGTTCCTCTTGTGTGGAATACTGTTTTCCATCCTTTCACTTTTAATCTATGAGTTTCATTTTGAGTCAGATGTGTTTCTTGTATACAGCATATTGTGGGATCATGTTGCTTGATCCATTCTGTCAACCTATTTCTTTTGATAGGTGAGTTGAGGCCCATTTACATTTACGGATATTACTAATATATACTGGCTCAACTTTGCCATGTTAAATTCCAGTTGTT